ACTGACTGTGCGACCAACAATAATAATACACAGAGACAACAGAATCAAGAAAACTGAACTGGAAAAAATTATAAAATATAGAAATTTAACAATGATTAATTTCATGTACCTTTGGTACAGAGTCCAGGACTCACATCCATATAAGAGAGAAGATCTTCTTTGATCAGGCTCGACCCATCAGATGACAGAAAGGGGGAGCATCTTGATTTAGGAGGACCATAAATTGACTTTATGGCACTGAAGAACTCTCTGGTGGCATACGTGTCTGCATAGCGTTCCACCTGCTCAGCCTTCCTCTGCCACCACTCGTCCTGCATTTCTTGCAGTTCTTGTAGTTCCATCTGTACTTTGGACTGCAGGTGTTTAAACCTGTCTTTCTTTGAGACAGATGATGAATCGTTCTGCCAGTCTACATAGGCCTTGCTCTTGGCCTGGAGGGCTGCTGAAATGGTCTCATGGTTTTCATCAAACCAATCTTGGTGCGCCCGGGTTTTCAGTCCAAGTACACTTGTTGTTGTCTATGTGATGATATCTTTAAACTGCGTCCACTTTTCAGAACAATTTCCTACAAGCTGTAAATTGCTGGAGACTTTTTCATTAAGTACATCTTGGAAACGTTGGACTTGCCCTGGCTTGTGCAGTCTGCCAATGTTGAATGACTTTCTGACAGTCCTTGGTTGCCTATAGTATAAAGGGGCTATGCGCAGGTTGAGGACCAACCAGCCTGTGAGCTGTCCAGCACTCAGCACCTTGCATGGCTCGGGTGATAGTGACATCTTTAAGGTCGTGCTAACATATTATGACATAGTCAAGTAGGTGCCAGTGTTTGGACCTGGGATGCATCCAGGTAGTTTTGTATTTGTTTGCAAGTCTGAACATCGTGTTAGTGATGCACAGGTTGAGCTCGGCACATTTGCTCAGAAGCAGCAGTCCATTGCTATTTAGTTTCCCACCCCATGTCTCCCAGGGACTCCGTCCTAGTTATCATTGTCTGTCCCCACCCTAGTGTTGAAGTCACTCAGAATCACGAGTTTGTTGCTGGCAGGGGTTGTTTGAATAATCTGGTCCAGGTCCTCATAGAAACCTTCCCTGTCTTTGTCTGGACTCGTGAAACTTGGTACTGTCAGGTAAAGCCCAAGAAACTCCACAAGACAGTACTGGAACAGCTCAGTTACTTTATTAGCTCGCATCTGCTAGACAGACTCTCACCAGACTAACTCTAAACTCCCCAAGCCAGCAACTAAACACTATGAATTCCTTAGGGTGGTGCCAGTCTCATCCTCTTCGCTTTCCCATGCTCACGCTGTGGGCT